AAGGCTAAGTCTGAGATAGTCCCGTGTACCATTCCCAAAGAGTCCATATGTTCCTAGTGCCAAAGGAAGGGGCATTGGTTGCGAAGCTGCCCTATTTACCTGAAGGTTCATAAGGATGGTAAAGTCAAAAAGTTTGACTCTACTTCAGGTAAGGTCAACTATCTAACTCTAATAAGTTCCTTTTTGATATTCTTATTACATGATGTGACTAGGTCACATTTTGATGTTTTGTAGAATTAAAGAAAGGAAGCTTAAAGGAAGAGTATGCTGATTCTGATCGCGAAGATGAATTTCGATCGCATGGTTCGGTGATCAGAATTTTGACCTGCTGCTTAAGAGTTATGATAGATTGCTTAGGAATAGATAACAACATTGTTTTCATATGCATTTGCATTGTAAGGATAAATTTTTCCGCAAAGTTTTAAAATAAAAGAAAAAAATCTTTAAATTTTATTTATTTTAAATATCCTTACAGTGGCATTAGTGAAAAATTGTTGTTTATGTGATTCCATTGATAGCAGTATTGGAAAATGGATTTGATTCTTTCGTTTATGGTAGTGTCATAATTTACCAAATAAGGAAAGATGCTCATCACCCAAGTTTCAGTTGGATAGAAACTGGGAATCATGCAACTTGTATTGTATGTTGAATGAGAATTTTCATCTTTGGGAAATAAAGACTAATTCCTTGTTCACATGTATATGTGAGTCAAGTGAAGGACTAGGAGATCGGGTACACTTGGTTGTGCGCTGATCAGGTCTACCACAAATAACGATAAGGCTATTCGTCATGATTTACTAAAGTCTAGTAAATATGGTTATGCTTACAAGTTTAAGTATAACTCTGAAACATTGGAAAAGTTTCAATGTAAGGCAAAACGAATAAGAAGAATCAAATTAGGCAGAAAGATAAAAGTTTCTCTAATCTGAAAAGATGGGAGAGTACTTGAGTATCTTGTTTTATGATTATCTTAGTGATTATGAAACCATATCACAATTGATTCTCTAAGGACATCTTAGTGCATTTGTTTGACTAAGAAGAGGAATCGTGAATTGTTATCAAAAGATGAATCATACTTCGTTCCAAAACTGAGTCTTAGAGTAACACTCCAAGATTGTGCCTTGAGTGACATAATGTTAAGAAGGTTAAACCACTTATCAAATGTAGAGTAAAATGTTTTCTACTCTTGTACATTTGAAATTTGTAAGTTGTGATGTTTTGAATAAAACAAAGACCAATTAAGGCCAACTGTGTGAAGTGTTTGTCTTGATAAGAATCCGCACTAACTCTTGAATATTTGTTTTATCAAGGAATGATTCTTGACAAGAGAATCTTATATGTCAAGAGGTCATTGGGAGTCTTAAAGATCTTGAAAAAGTCTCAAGAACTAATCAAGGGTGTTGTTTATCAGTAGCACACGACTTGAGGTTTATAACCTATTATGTTGACATATTCTTATTTCTGTGCCCATTCCAGTTAAAGTTGACTATGCATCTGAGTTCTACAAGTTCTCAATTGTTTGCATAACAACCTGGAAGCAATGGCAGGCCCTTGTGCTACCAAGTGGAAAGAAGTTAAGATTGCACAAGTTCAGTCCATATGAGTTTGGATTCGTCACTAACCTTGTCTTGTGATTATGGTTTTGACAAATTCACATGGATAGGAACACATACACCATAAAATCTAAGTGTCACAAGGTTTCTCTCCGATTCATGAAAATGATGGTGAGGAAAAGCTTTCACTAAGTAGATTTTAAGTAGATAACAATTATGATATTTGCATTCTCAGAGTCGTTAGTGGAGCGTGTGTGGGTAACCGACACACTAACATGGACTTGTGAGAAATGGAAAAGGTCTATACAATTGAGACTATGATTACGGCATCCCTTTTCATAGTTCTAAAAATTGTTTAGACACTCATATGAGCTGTCCAAGGAAAGGTGTATGATTTTGATAAACTCTTATCAAAGCATCTCGTATCATAAATCTGAACTTTGGTAAGAAAGTCAATAAAGTATTGATTTCTAGAAGTCCAACTGATTTCTGAATACATGTCAAAGCTAGTGGGAGCATAAGTGTTATGCTAATAATTATCATGTTAGTGGGAGCATAAGTGTTATGCTAATAATTATCATGTTAGTGGGAGCATGATTATTATGTTAAGTGTTAATTATAGAAAACAAAATTCTCAATTCGTGACTTTGCAGGGTTTGAAAAGTTGTTTTGCTATAATTAAGGAAGAGGAAATTATACTTCATTTCAATTCTAAAAGCTTAGATTGAGTTTTAATCGTCTTTATTCAAGGATATATATATATATATATATATATATATATATATATATATATATATATATATATATATATATATATATATATATATATATATATATATATATATATATATATATATATATATGAATTTTATGTTGGAATGGTTCAACATAAGGAAGTTCTATATATATATATATATATATATTGTGTTCTCAAAATTCGATTATGATTACGACATCTCTCTTCATAGTCGAATTATGAAAACATGGCAAATTAAAAATATTGTAGCAAAAGACTGGTCTAGGATCATGTCTTTATGTGAGACATCATGAATCGTGTCCCATATGCTTCAGATATAGGATCGATTACATGTCCTATAATATTTATCCTTTCTAAATTTTCCAAATGCCTAGGGAATTAAGAGGGGAAAAGGTCTGGAATTGGATATGACTAAAATGATTAAGCAATTGTCGAGGACAATCTGAGGTTTACCAAAGATTGGTTGCTCATGGACAGTTGGAAGTATGGTGTAAATTTTTGGAAAGGACCATATTGACATATTCTGAAAGGAGGCAACTCTTGTTCAGAAGTAATAGTCAAAATGGGAATATGTAAATTATTCCATAAGTGGAAGTTATTCATTAAATTTGTGTAATATTAGAAGACTTAACTCAAGAAGTATGTTCAAAGGAATGTACTTTGAATTTGAGACTTCGTTTCCATTGGAATATTCTGTAATGTCTGTTGACAAGTCTTTGCGACTTTGTGCATAGTCATTACAAGAGGATCAATGCATATAAGTTTAGAATCTAACAGATTTCGGTAAATGGCAGGATTTTGGAATTCTTAGATTTACGATAAGGATTTGGATTGTGATATGAGAATCATTGGAATCATGTTCAATTGGTCTACTTCACAAAGTAATGATCATAGACAAACATAGTGTGCATACTTTGAGTATGGAATAACTATTGTTTGGACAAACATAGTGTGCATGCTTGGAGCATGGAATGACTATTGTTTTGATTCAAGTATAAAGTTGATTATTTGAAACATTATACAATGAAAAATGAGTAATGAATAATATGTTTAAATAAAAGGTGTTTTATTTACTCTCAAAGGTGCTTGGGGCCATATAGGATTAGTATTATTCTTGTGTTTCACTTTGCATGTTTTGACTTCCCGAATAACTAGGTTATTCAAACTCTCCATAGTCAATCATACTTTGGAAGTAGGTATGAGGCAAGACTGTCATGAATGGGTCTGTAGTTTGTCTAGGCGGCCTAGACATAGTTGTAGTATTCATGAGTGCTCCTGGAATAAGATTCGAGTATTGGATTAAAACGATGCTCATTTGACTCACTTCATGGATTTTATCACGAGTGATCATGAGACGATAATATCTTTTATTCTTCAGATGGAGACGTGTGAGTTGTAGTTCCACATTGGTTGCACATTGACATATGTAAACGCAACTAGTAACTTGGTTGTTATAAAACATATCGTTGTGTGTAATTTGATGAGTAAGTACAAGAGAACATTTGGGTTAAAGTTTATCCATTACTTTTACCCTTAGAGGGATAAAAGCGATAACTGTGGGGCCCTCGATGATTTGGTGATGACAAATGTAAGTGCTCGGCCGGGCCTGGACTGATTTGATTTGTTCAATTAGTCGGTCATCACAAATCGGAAATCGGGAAACAACAAATGGACAGAGAAAATGATTATAATCAATGTCTCAGTCCATATGATATCTAGAATGGAGGAATATATGATCCCTTATCTAATGGACATGTCATTGACTAGGTCAGAGTTCGACAACGGCTTTTAAGAGCTACGATTGCTAGTCAGGATCTTGGAGTCATACGCAATAATAGTTTTAGACTTATCCAAGTGGGAGACTGTTGTATTAGATGTCTAAGCCCATAACTATTATTGGTATGTACTCGACCCGAGAGTAGCATAGTCCATTTGGGTTGCATAACACCAGGACAATTTGTTAGGATGGACTCTTGAGAGAAAGGTTATATATGATATATTAATATATTATAAGTTCTAATATATTAATATGAAATCAAATATTTTAATTAGTATTGATCAAGAATTAATTTGGAATTAATTTAGTGATCAAAAGAGACTAATTAAATCTATGGGGACTAATTATGGTAATTAGTTATATTTATATATGTTGGGCTTATGATCCATGTTGGACTAAGTTTATGTACGGATACATAAAGAGTTGGGCCACATGAACCATGAATCATAATACTTATGGGTATGGATTTGGGTTATACCCATGACCCTTGAAATGCCACATATAAATACAAACTCCACTGCCCAAAATCACCAATTGAAAGTGCTTCATTTTCTTAGAGAAATATGGAGGTGTTTTGGTGCATGGAATTCTCTCTCAAGAGTCATCTTTGTCCTAGGTGAGTTGTGATTCCATTTGAGGTGCAACACTTGGGGCACTAAGTTCTTAAAGTCCAAAGTTTTTCAAGCAACACCAAATACATCAAGACTTCCAGCCATATAAAAGGCATGTTACACTAACTAGTATCTTGTGTAGTTTACATCTTTGCATGCTAGTTATAGGCTTAATACCTTGGAAACACCTTTGCATGTATAATTACTGAAAACATAGATCCAATGTATTTAGGGTTGTATGTGCACCATAGGATGTTGTAGTATACTAAAACCCATCACGTTTCACCCTTGTGAAGTCGGTAATGGGAAGCCTTCCACTTTATTTCTTTTCCATATTTAAAGCACCTATCGGAGTGATTGAATCATTGGAGAAAACACGAAGTAGATTCTTGTGGGGTGGAAATGACGAAAAAACTAAAATCCACTGGGTAGCTTGGAAGAAAATACAAGCCAAAAAAGAAAATGGAGGCCTTGGTGTGGGATCTTTACGTGCCCTAAATTGTGCACTTCTAATGAAATGGATCTGGAGGCTAAAAGGTCCCCTGAACTCGATATGGAAATCTGTCATTATGGGAATACATAACATCCATAGGAAGCCATTGTCATCGTTATTTAAAAAATCTATAAACGGGGTTTGGGGTAACATTGTTAAGGTAATGGGGGATATAGAGTCACTTGGGATTGCTCCAAGTAATCTATTTTTTGTAAATGTAGGTAATGGAGAACACACTTGCTTTTGGACGGATGTGTGGATTGGAAGCTCACCACCCTCCGATCGATTCCCACACATATTCGCTTTAGAGAAACGTAAATCTGCCTATATAGCGGAAAGGAATTGCATTGATGATTTCAATGCAGCCTGGAAAAGAAAGCCTTCAACTATGGTCGAGGCTGACGAGCTCTCCCAAATTCACTCGATTATCAACTCGACCGAACTTTCCAGGGAACGGGACTCCTGGCGCTTTACATTAGCCCCTGATGGTGAATTCCGAGTGCATCTGATTAGGGAATATATTGATCTAAAGGTGACATCTTCCTCGCCTTCGATCATGATATGGACAAATATTGTACCTCTCAAAGTTTCTGTCTTTATTTGGTGGGCTTGTTTGGACCGTCTTCCTACTGCCTTAGCTCTCTCTTTAAGGGGAATTAATCTGAATTCCATCTCCTGCCAAATATGCTCAGATGAGATTGAGGATGCAAACCACATCCTTGTTGATTGTAGATTTGCGAAGGAGACATTTAACTGGATATTTAAATGGTGCGGTTTACATAGACAAGAGTTTTCAACTGTGACATACATAATCACTTATGCAGCAAAATAGGGTCATTGCCCTAAAAAAATGACGATTTATGGTGTATATGGTTGGTGAGAAACGATAGAGTCTTTAATAATGTGCCTACAATATCCTCAAAAACAGCTGACCATGCGATTTCTATGGTTTATGGGTGGATAAAACATAGGGGGAAATGGAAATCTGCAATTGGACTCATTGGCGCTGCAATCCGATTGATAACCTGTAATTTTTGAACCAGCTAAACTTCGAGAATTATAGTCTCACATCTTACTGAAATGTTAAAGGCAGTTACGGTGATCTCCCTGGAGTTCGAATAGTTAAACCTCATGAGTAAAACATAGAATTGTATTGGTCATTTGGAGTTCTTTTTATTTTTGTTTCTTTTTTGTATTCTGTTTTGTTTTTAGTTTTCTTTCCAGCTTGGCTCCTTGCTCAGCTTGGTTAATAAATTCTCGCCGGTTCGAAAAAAAAGGTAGAGAAAATACAAAAAGAATGAGATACATACATATAATTGCAACGTTACATCCTTTCGACAATTTATATAAAATTTATGACGCTATATTACCGGTGAATGATAATAAACTGTGACAATGTACTGGAAAATAATATAATAGAAAATAAGTTAATTTCAAATATATTTTGACACCATACAAATTTTAAAAAGACTATACAAATACGTTACTAGAAAACATACAAATGAAACGGACAGAACTTAAATAGCTGTCTAGATTGATTAATTTTGTTTGCCACATTTTTGAAAATTCTAATTTAATCAATTTTGCTTTCATTGAATTTGGTGGATTTATGAAACCCCATCCCAAAAATCCAATTACATCCTTTTGTATATAATTATTAAATTAATATTCAAAGAGAAATGGTATAAATATCTAGATAATAATAATATTAATAAAAATATCACTTTCATTAATTAAAAAGTAGCATATCTTATTATTTCGCATATTATATATTAGAGTATTAGGTATCAACAACATATTAAGACATATTATCACATGTCATGTTACCCACGTATTGTAATAACACCAATTGAAGAAATGGTGTTGAAATGTTATAACAAGTTAAAAGATAGAGAGAGAAGAATAATAAAATGGTGATTGGTTGATTTCTACCGTTGAGATATATTGCTGTTACCACATCTTATAACATAACACCCCTTAACATGAAAAGTGGTAGACAATACCATTTTATAACTAGGTTAAAAGGTATCACCTCACCCATAATACCATATCGGCGTTGCCCATACACAACACCCTTATTGTTTGTTCTCATTTTTTATTATATGAAATACAAAATTATAAGAAGACATATCGAAATGGAAATATACATCAAAATGAAAGGACTTATAAGATTCAGAAAGGGAGGAAAGCTAGGTCCAAGGTTTATTGGACCATTCAAAGTGTAACATCCCAAAAATACAGTCCAAAAATTTCATTTTTAAAGCATTAATAAAACCATCAACCATCCAAAATCATAAGTAAAATCATAATCGTGTATCATAAAACATCATAGTATCTGTCTCAAAACAAATCTCATATCAAATCATCAGAGTGAACTCCGAGGCTGTGACTATGGTGTGTGCCATGCGATCAACCCGAGCCCTTCCCCTTGCTAGTGGAAGTACCTATAACCAAAAACTGAAAACTGTAAGCACAAAGCTTAGTGAACTCCCCTAAACTACCACATACCATACAATAACACAAATACACATACTGGGCCTTGCCCACTGCATCGGTCCGCAGCCCGGACTAACTTGGGCCTTGCCCACTGCATCGAACCATAGCTCGGACTAACTTGGGCCTTGCCCACTGCATAGGACCGCAGCCCGAAATAACTGAACATATCATAACATAAACATATATCTACTGCATCAGACCGAAGTCCGGAACACAAGGCACATCACATAAATATGCATGAATCATGTGACACCAGTCAAATTTAGGTCAAAAATAAATTGATCAATAATCGTAATTGGGATGAACAAAGTGGTAGAGATTGTAACAAGGTTTCCAAAAATATAAAGAACACTGAAATCCGAGTTATAACGAAGAAGTTATGACCAATCGAAGATCCACGACAAAACCGGCAAAACACTGTTCAGTGTAAAATGTTAATTTTCGATAAAAGGCTTTTTAGCCTTAACAATCTAAATGAAAGTTGTAGAATAAGTTAAACCGAGAACGTTCATAAAAAGAACGTAAAAATCTGACTTCGTATGAGGAAGTTATGCTTTTTCTAAGTTTCGGTTTAGCAGTAGACAACTAAAAATTTGAAATATAAATCGATCGATATTTACCCGAACAACTTAAATGAGAAGCGAAGGTCTCGTCAAAAGTAGTACAACGGTAAAAAGACAGACGAAAACAGACGTCGGATGAAGAAGTTATGAATTTTTAACAGATTTCCTGTCCCGGTCTGTTAAAAATAATAATATTAAAAATAAAGTCAAAATTAGCCGACGAAGTCTAAACGAAAGTCGTAGAGTATAATTTTACCTACGCGTGCATATATAAAGAATGCCAAAAACGGAGCTCGTATGCGAACGTTATGAATTTCGTAAGTTTTTGGCACGAAAATCAAAAAAATCTAGAAAACCGGGAAATTTCGCATGGACCCTCTTCGGCCACGTCACCCTCACATGCGAGGCTTCCACGTGTCCGCTACGTGTTGTCTGCTGATTGGACCGAAGTCTCGCGTGGCATCTCCTGATTGTACTGAAGCTCGGTCCACTCCTGATCTGACACCACCGAGGAAGCTTCCGAGACCGCCTCCAGCTTCGCTTCTCCTTCTGACGCGTGCCCTCCTCGCATACGAAACACCTGTCCGCGCCGAAGCCACCTGTCCGAGCCCTCGCCACTTGTTTGATGACTCACCTCCTCCGCCAAACCCTCGCACCCCTATATAAAGGGTGCGAGACTTCTCGGATTTGAGAGGTTTTTCACCCCATTTTTCACCCTTTTTCACCTTTTCACCCCCTAAACTTTCTTACGACCCCCAAGGCCCCAGTATCGTATCTAAAACCCGAAGCAAGCCCCGAAGCCCCGGAATTCTCGAGAAGATAACCTCTGTACAGTCGAAGTGCTGCCCGTGTAAAGCCCGGTTTTTACTCAAAAACTCGCAGTTTCTTCGAGAAAGATCATCTATAGAAATGAAACGCTGCCCAAATCACCACTTATCATGTGAGTTCATACCCCTATAATTTACCTTTTTAATGGTTTTTAAATGCTTTTTAGGGGGGGGGGGGAATACAAGTTGAACACAATATAAATTGTGTAAATAATTGTATGTGATAATAATCACACAAAGAGTTTCCTTATGCTTTTAAGGATTACCAAATACTTCCAAAATAACGTAAAGCCATGTTAAATCTTTAAAGTCATGTAAACTCCGTTAAATTCTTTGAAAAAGGTTTTATAAACTATTTCAAATTATAATTGCCAAAATCATGTTTATATATGTATAAATATATAAATAAGATTTGAAGGGCTTAGGACTAATGAATTATCTTATTTCCTTTTCCTTGTTTGGATGTGGAATTAAGGTGGTGTTATTTGTCTGAAGGTCGTTTCCTTCTTAATTATATATATATATATATATATATATATATATATATATATATATATATATATATATATATATATATATATAAAAGGTTACTTTATTCAGTATCATTACCTTTGTATCATGCTGAGCAAAGGTGTTTATCCATGAGAAATCTTGCTAATCAGATAGAATATATAAATTATAATAGGTATAATTTATGATTCAAAACTAAATATACAAGTATGATTCACGATTATATACTTTCCAAGGAAATCACCAACAATTCATTTATCTATACTAGGATATGCATAATACTTTTAATATAAGGATAATATATTAAAGAAGTAATAATACATCATACCGGGTTTGCATTAACAAAGGTACAATACAAAGTACCAGGGTTAGCAATCACGGGGTAATAATACATCATACTGGGTTTGCATTAACAAAGGTACAATACAGAGTACCAGGGTTAGCAATCACGGGGTAATAACACATCATACCGGGTTTGCATTAACAGGGGTACAATACAACGTACCAGGGTTAGCAATCACGGGTTAATAATACATCGTAAATCTCGTTGAAACAATAAATTTGTGAGACTCTTCATGGTGTACTTATCTAAGTACGACCTTAAGTCCTGACTTATTAACCAAAATCTCCTGTAGGGAGGGCGTGAGTTTGTGTATAGATCTATATGGGACTGACAATCCCTCACCTTCACTGTTCGCTACAGTTTGGCAGGCAGGCCTAGGGTGTCAAATATCATATCGTTTCTGACGCCTGAAGAACGTCGCATCAGGCACATCAGTCATATTAGTATGGTTAATAGAACTCACATGGATAAAACAATGAGTAAATTACTTAGTAATATACTTCTCTTAAAACAGTAAGAAAAGATAATTAAATCCTGACCAAATATACCTTATGTTAGTTTTTACTTACAGTAAAAACTACGTATCATGAAATCAAGTATGGAAAATATACTTGTACTTCTGGTTTTGGAACATTTAAAACCACAAAGCAATATTATGGATAATATAATATTTTCCAGGATTAATACTAATGTTTTACCGCAGAACGGATATAACTAAGAATACTTTTACAAATGAAACGGTTTATGGGATTAAACCACTTTTACAAATGAAACAGTTTATGGGATTAAACTACTTTTACTAACGAAACGGTTTATGGGATTAAACTACTTTTACAAATGAAACGGTTTATGGGATTAAAATACTCTTACAAATGAAACGGTTTATGGGATTAAACTACTTTTACAAATGAAACGGTTTATGGAATTAAACTACTTTAATAATTGGAACTTAACCATTTACTCTCGGTAAACTAGTATAACATAAAGGACCTTTAGTGGTTAATTCTATAATTCCTTAGTTTTTACATCAGGGTTATACATAAGTAATATCCGATTAACAGTGAAATGTGTGACTTCCGTCTTACTTCCTGTTCCTTGTTTGGTTGTGGGCTTAGGGCAAATACACCCATTTAACTGTCCATTCGATATTAGGTTATATATAATTAGTATAAACTAAGTAATTACAGAGGGAAACTATTGAGGTTACCGGTTTATCACCTCAGGAAATATAGGATTTTCTGGAGGAACCAACGAACTTTTCCAAGAACTTAGAGTATACTTTATAGAACTAAAATACTTATGAACTCACCAGCATAAATGCTGATCTACTCTTTCCAAATAACTTGTATTCTCAGGAATCCAGTAGACAGGTACACTCCCGAA